CCCCAAAACCCCAAAACCCCAAAACCCCTGCCTGAATAGATTAGAAGATTCTAATAATCGTAAAATAATCTGATAATAAAGTCAAAAGCAATTATTTGAGATTTCCATAATTTATCATTTCATATTTCCTCTACCACAATTGGACCATTGGGAGAAAAATTTTCATCTTTCAAGTTAATACTCTGATTAAATTTATCCATGCTTAATCCAAATCCAGTATTGTTTAACTTGTCCTACTCGTATTTTAATCTCACAAGGTCAAACTTTGTGAAAATAAACAGAAGCAAGGATATTAGCAAAACCCCTAGCAATATTAATGTTGTTATCAAAACATCTTATTTCTCAGCTCTTTCTAAAATTGGTGTCATTGCCATTACTAAGGCAAACCCAAAAACATTCGCTACTGAATTTGTGAGTCCTCCTGATGTTGCCTCGCCAATAGGGAAAGACATTTCAACTCCTAATTCATAGGCTACTGAAAAAATTCCAAGACAAAAAAAGCCATTAAATACGCAAGCAACCATCAAAAAATCATAACTTAGACTTACTATTGCAAAGTATGAAGCGATACAAGCTAAATCAATAAATACTAATGAAATTACTTACTTCCCAATGTGGCAATTGTAATAAAAATTGAGCAAAACTTATATTTTGGCTTATGAGTCAAATAAACTGACGCTAATATACCACCTACGATTCCTGCCAAAAGGTATATAGTACCAATCCAAGAACTTTAAGAAGCAGTGAATCCATAAATAGAGATCATCTAAGCGAATACAGTTGTGAATGCATAAGAAAAACTCATGACACCTCCATTAGCAATACAAGTAAGCATAAACCCTTTGTTTTTTAGAAGTGAAATCAAATCTTTTTTTAAAGATTAATCTAGTTTTAATATATCTGATCCTTATTATGACAAAGATGGAGGAGTGGGCGGCTTATCTTTAAAGGTGATAGCTACTGGTATCAATATAATGGTAGATATTATAGCCACACACATCATCAATTACCACGTGTGATTCTTTGCATCTTCCACATTGAATTCATCTTCGTCTTTAACAAATAAGGCAGGAATAAAATAACCTATTGCGATTCCTAAAGTATTCGCATTTGCAGCAACTGACGTCGAATAAAGCCTCTCTTTTTCCCCAAACCAATTTGCAGATATTTTGGCAGGGGCATTGTACGTAAATGGTTAAGCAACTGCTAAAACAGTTTGACCAACAATAACCCAGATGAAATTTTAGTTTATAAGACATCTTAACCATAGGCCTAAGGTTGTCAAAAATATTCCTATTAGTACACCGTAACGAGATCCCCACTTGTCCAGAGCAAAAACTGATGGGAAATTTACTGGCAAGTAGGCAATCATATAAATTTAACTCATGTAATTTATCAAAAATATGCTCACATCGTAGTTCTAAGTTAACAATTAAGATTAGATTAGCTAGATAGATTATGGTTTACTTACATTCATTAAAATAGTAGATATTGGGGCGAAGCAGATCCATCCACAAGAGTTTATCATAGTGCATAAACAAAATAGAAAGAGAATATAATATCTGCGTTTATACAATACCAACTTAGGCTTTTGGGCATGCTCATACTCAGGGTTTCCATTTTCATCAAAGCTTATATTTTCATTGTTGTTATTGTTGCTAATGGGGAAAATCTTGACAGGACTAGAATAACTTAACATATAAAGTATTATATAGATTGTGTGAGTATTGAATAATTATATTGATAACTTAGAAATTACCTATCTAACTATTTATATATTTATATATTTCTAAGTCATCAAAATAAACTTATTATTCAGATCATGGGGTTTTGGGGTTTTGGGG